CCAGGCAGTGTCTGCACCCTCCAAAACCTGCTGCCAGCTGCTATAGGGGGTATGTGGGTGTGTGTGAGCAGAGATGCTGGTGGGTGGGTTGAGGTGGGCTCTCCATTTCTCCCCAACGGGTGCATTGTGACCCCACCCTCACCCCCAAAATAACCGCACATGGCTCGCGCGCCGCGTCGGGAGCCCGTTCTCTCGCCCCCCCAGGACAATGAGGAGGAAATCGGGCAGCATGAAGCGTGCCTCTCCCACCCCCAGCACCCAAACCTCCTACTACAGCGAGTCCCTGGTCAGCGAGTCCTACCTGGGGGGCAGCCGGGGCCTCGCTGCCCTGGGCAGCTCCGTGCTGGATGATGCCCTGGACAGCAGCATGTACTGGGGTGAGCTCACCTTCCCTCCCGTGGCACCAAGGGGGTGTTGGGGCATCCCTGCAGGCCGGCTGTCCGGGTTGCCCCCCGTGGGGGTAGTGGTGAGTGGGTTTCTCAGAGGGACTCTGTGTTTTAGGGGTAGGTGGAGAATTTTCTACCAGGAGGAGAAGAGGCACGGGGGACACCGAGTCCAGTAAGATCAATGGGCTGCTGGAGAGCAAGACGTATGACACCTATGCCTCTTCGTCTGGGTACTCCTCAGAGGATGACTACACTGGTAGGGATGCTGGAAGAGATGTCCCCCAGGGTCTGGCCGTGCCCAGCGTGGTGCCAGCCCTCTCCCCTCCACGACCCCTTCACCCTGGGTGGCACGCAGGGGTGCAGGCTCTGCCTGGTGCCTTACCACCTCGCTTCATCCTTTCCAGGTCACTTCTCCTCGGGACAGAGTAGCTCTGGGTCAGGGCTGAGGACCGCAGCCTCCCGGGTGGGCTCCTTCCTCTGGCAGGTGCTCACCTTCCCAGGTGAGTGGAGGGCTGCTGGGGGGGATTTTAGCAGGACCTTCCATCCCTGCCAGTATCCCTAGGGATAGATGTTTCTGCCGGGACCCTGCCTGAGGTTTGGTTTCTCTCCTGGCAGTTTGGTTCACGGGGTGGCTGTTCTCGGGGCTCACAGCTGCCTGGCACCGCCTCACCGGGGCCACTCCCCGCCTGGCCAACGTCCCCCTCTCCAGGTGAGTGTGGTGGGGGGACCCCAGCCTGGGGGAGGTGTGGGAGAGGAGCCCAGCACTCGTGGGGTTCATGTCTTGTGCTGAAGCCCGGCTGGGCTTTGCTTTCCCTCTGGCCCCCATCCAGAGGAGCGCTGCAGTGAGGGAAGGTGGCTGCAGTCCTACAGGTGTCTCTTTCTTCTCCGTGCTCCAGGCGCTACCCGTGGCTGAAGAGGTCCCTGCTTCTGCTGCTGCTCCTGCTGCTCCTCACTGCTGCCGCCTACGGTGAGTCAGACTGGCTCTGAGATCTGGGGCATGCTGCTGGCACACCCAGGGGGTGGGGTGGCCCTGAGCAAAATGCTCCTCATGACTCCTGGCACTCTGGTGCTTCTCTACCCCTGTGCTGGGGCCTCCTGGTAGCCCCAGATGATACTGATGTCTGAGCCTCTGCATGTCATGAGCCCTGTGCCCTGCTGGGGCCCATGCCCAGCCTGTCACATCAACCATCTTATCCCCCTGCATGCCCAGGAGCTTGGTACTTCTACCCCTATGGGATGTCGACTCTCAGCCTCCCCTCCTTCTCGTGGTGGGGAGCTGGAAGGCTTTCCTCCTCCAGCGGGCCTGGGGCAGGGGACCTGACCATGCTGGACCAGGTAAGCCTTGGCAAGGTTGTGGGTGTCTTGCAGGGAAAGCCAGGACACCGTGGTCCCTGGCTGAAGGAGCCTTTCCGGGGGATGGGGAAGAGGTGAAGGATGGGGCAGAAGGTGGCTCCGTGCTGGTGGAAATGGCTCCCCCAGCTTGTGGCCACCTCACTCTTGGGGTGTCCCAGGGATGGAGCAGGAGGAACATCTGTGCTCTGCTGAGAAGCAGCAGATGAACAAGATGCCACTTAGTCGGTGACCTGGGTCTCCTTTCCCGGGGTCCCTGTGGAGCAGGCAGCCCCTCAGGGGCCCTCCCCTCCCTGAGAGTCTCCATCCTGCCTTACCTTTGCCACGGCTGCAGGGCCTGCAGGGGGAGCAGCGGGTCCTGGCTCGCTTCCAGGCCCTGGAGAAGCGTTTCCAGGCGCTGGAGGCCGAGGTGTCGCGGTGGGAGCTGCGGCGAGGGGCGGCGGCCGTGGCCGCAAAGGGAGAGCCGCCCCCGGGCAACCTCCTGGAGCTCCTGGAGGAGCTGGTGGGCCGCCGGGAGGCGGGGCTGAAGGAGCATCTCCGTGCTGATGTGACCAGCCACCTCCAGGTGAGGGGCTCGGGGGGTACAGGGGAGATGGGGGCGCGTGGAGCCGAGCTCTGATGTCCCTCGCCCTGCAGGGTGAGCTGGATGCCCTCCGAGCCGAGCTGCAGAGGGATTTTGATGGGCGCCTGAAGAAGATGGCACAAGCCTCTCAGGTAAGGGGACAGGTGTGTGGTGGTATGGGGGTGTGACAGCCATTACAGGTCTCATCCCTTCCCTTTCTCCTGGCAGGAGATGGAGGCACGCTTGCTGGAGCTGAACTCAGAGTTGCAGAGGTAACGCTGGCTGTCCAGGCAGAGCTGCTGCTCTGTCCAGGGCAGGGAGGCAGTGGGGTGAAATCCCCACTGCAGGGTTTAGGAGGGGTTTCCAGGTCAAAGGAGAAGCTGAGGGGCCCAGACTTGGGGGCAAAGGAGGGATGGATGTGTGGGTATGTCAGCATGAAAGCGCCCTGGCTGTCAGCAGGGCTCAAAGGATGGTTGTAGCAAGTGACCTTTGCCACTGTCATTTTGCATCACCGTGGGGAACGTGGCCCTTCAGCCGAGGGGTGAGCTGGGGGTGCTTTCCCACGGAATGCAAAAGAAGAGGTCATTGGCACAGGAGTTAAAACCATCTGTGGCTGGAGATGTGGCTGAGCATAGCCAGCGGGGGATGAAGATCCTCCCCCGGGTTGCAGAGGGGAGCTGGGACTGTCGGTGCCAGGTTTCGTTGCCTTTCTCTTGGCACAGCTCACTGCAGGAAGATGTACGAGGCAGCTTCCAGCAGGAGGTGGGCAAACTGGAGCAGGAGGTGGCAGCACTGAGGAGGGAGCTGGTGGGCCTCAAGTCGGACCAGGAGGTGATGGGGAAGCACGTGGAGGGGATGCTGGAGCAGCTGAAGGCAGTGCGGGCTGACGTGAGTCCCTGGCTCCCACCCTGCTCCTCAGAGGGAGGCGTGAGGGTCCCTGCCCCAGGCCTGAGCTCTGTCCCTGTTGTTTCAGGTGGAAGCACAGTTCCCAGCGTGGATCAGTGGGTTCCTGTCGCAGTCCCGGCGAGGTGGAGCTGCTGGCCTTGTCCTCCAGCAGGAGGACTTGCAAGCAGAGCTCCAGGCCCTGGAGCGCAAGATCCTGGCCAAAGTCTCAGAGGATCAGAGGCTGTTGGCACGAGATGCTCAGGCTGGTATTGGAGTGGCCCTGCGGCAAGGGGGGACCACAGGGGTGACAGAGGAGGTGAGTGCTGGCCCGAGCCCCAGGGACATGATGGTGACCAGGGAGTAGCACTGGAGACTGTGCCCTTTGTGTGTGTGCACGGGGTCCTGGCACGTAGCCCAGGCAGGTGTCAGAGCTGTGGGAACAGACCTTGCTCCTGGGATGTTTATCCTGGGCTCACATCTCAGCTGGCAAGAGTGTCCTGAGAAACTTTTCTTCATCCCTTCCCTGCTGCTGGCTTCCCCTGCACTGTGCCTGTGCCCTGCCCTGGAAGGGGTCAGAGGAGCTGGTATCAGCATGCCCATGAGGCTCTTGCTGCCTTTAAAATTCAGCTTTCTGCTTGTGCGTCTTTCACCCAGAAAGTGGGGCAGATGCCAGCAAGGTTTCCACGGAGCGACTACCTTGCTTATCCCCATCCTTCAGCAGTGCTGCCGAGTCATTTGGGGCAAGACATTTCAGCAGAATGACACCAAGGGGAAAAAATGAGCCTGCTTACTTTGGAAAGAGCTGCTGGCAATTCCCAGTGGAGGTGGCGGAGGGAGGGACCGAGCTGGGATTAGCAGTCCCCACAGTCTGAACAAGCTTTGTGCATGCTATAAAGTTTAGACCCAGAGTGGTGCTTCAGGGGCCTCAGCTCCTGGGGCTGGGCTTGGCTACAGAAGGGTGCTCCATCTGCCTCCCCCTTTTCTGGACGAGGGGAACTCCCATCCATCCTGTGGCATGGGGCAGGAGGAACCAGCAGATGATGCTGGGGAGGGGTGGGTGGGCTGTCAGGTTGTCTGGTACCCCTCCTCCCCCCAGGCCAGCCCCTCTTTTGAGGTGGGGACGGGCGAGCCCAGCGTGTCTGAGCTCTGTCCCTCCATTGCACAGCACTTCTAGTCTGGGGTATTTTTAGCAGCCTCTCGTGAGGCTTCCCAGCCAAGCGCGTGTCGTCTCGTTTTCGCCACGATGATTCATCCCCCAGCTGCTTTGCTGGGAGGTCCTCGTGCCCTCTCTGTCCCTGCAGGGTGGGGGTGAGGAAGGGGGCAGGATGCCTGCCCTGGCCCTTCCCTCATCCCCTCATCCTGCACTCCTCAGCAAGTGCATCTCATCGTGGGCCAGGCCCTGAAGCGCTACAGCGAGGACCGCGTGGGGATGGTCGACTACGCCCTGGAGTCGGCAGGTAGGTGCTGGTGGGCTCTTGCCCGCCGTGGATGAGCTGGCCATCCTCGGGAGGGGGCTGCAGCTCGTTGGCACGAGTCTCCACCTCCTGCTGTCCCCTTGCTGTGCCCAGGGGCCAGTGTCATCAACACCCGTTGCTCGGAGACCTACGAGATGCGGACCGCGCTGCTGAGCGTGTTTGGCATCCCCTTGTGGTACCAGTCACAGTCCCCCCGAGTCATCCTGCAGGTGAGCACCCCTGAGGAGAGACCCTGCTGAGTGGGAGGAACATCCAGGCTCATTCTCACCTGAGCTTGGTGGCTTTCATTGGGCTCTTGCTCTCACTCCAAGCAAGTGGCTGTGGTGATATGGAGGGGAGAAAAATGTCCCTGCTGGTGATAACCTTGCTGGTGTCTCACTCCTCTGCTTGTAGCCAGATGTCAACCCTGGGAACTGCTGGGCCTTCCGTGGCTCCCAGGGCTTTGCCATCATCCGTCTCTCCGACACCATCCGCCCCACGGCTGTGACGCTGGAGCACATCCCAAAAGCCCTGTCACCCCAGGGAACCATCCCCAGCGCCCCCAAGGACTTTGCTGTCTATGTGAGTGCCCTCCCCTGGACCTAAGGGGACGTGGTGGGAGAGTGCCATGGTGGAGGGTGTGGGAGGGGAGGGCTAGCAAGCAATACCTGGCTGTGGGGTGCTCTCTGGGGCTGGTCTTACCCTGAAGAGGAAGAAGCAGCAGTATTGGGAGGGAAAGGGAGAGCACTGGGCCTCAGGAAGGGTTAGGGAGGGAATTGAGTAGGTGTAACTCTTGGTCTTCCCCCTGCCCTCATCCCTCCCTGCTGCTCCCTGTCCCCATTTGTCTGTTTTGGCTTGGAAGAGCAGGAGTGAGAGCCGAGGGTGCTTGTGTCTCCTACTTCTTGTTCCATGCCGGGTGTGCTCGTCGCCTCTGGTCTCTCTCTGATCACCCTCTGTTCTCCCTTCCTGCCTTCCTGCCCCTCTGTAGGGCTTGAAGGAAGAGAGAGAAGAGGAAGGCACTCTCCTTGGGCAGTTCACCTACAACCACGATGGTGACCCCATCCAAACATTTTACTTGGAGGTAAACACTTTGCTCTCCAAACACCTCCCCCCAAGAAGAA